CTGACTAACAGAGGAGACTATTAATCCCTCGACACAAGATTTGTCAAATTACATGGATCACATGACACCTTAGCTGTATCCTACTTAAGCTAGTTTTACCTCTAGTAAAAATATATTTCATTTTTTTTTTAAGTTCTTTATAGAGAAATTTATTCAGATAGACACAAAATAACAGATATGGTTTATTAGTTTCTTCACTTTCACGAGGTTCCCTTAAATTCCCTACTATATACTATCATGTCCCCCATTTGAAAAAAAAAAAACACTCCACAAAATGACAGAAGAACACTTACCTAGGATCAACTCCAGACAACGATAGATAGACCCACCCAGTTGGCTTCACAAGTTCCACGGTCTTAATCTCCTACAAATGTTCCCAAACCCATTATTCATCAACAATTATTACAACCAAATCAACCCTTCCAATCAAACCCAAACCAATAAAATTACCTTCAAGTTGTGAAACCCATCACCGGCACGGATGGAAACTTTGCTCGGCGTGTAACTCTCGTCCAACTTGAAATCCACGTACAGTACAATTAGCTGCAACAATAAAAAAGATTAAAAATTTAGCACTTAGAAAGTATAATTATATTTTGTTTACAAGAGGGGTGTGCCGTGTACGTACTTGAAGTCTCACTTTCTTCTGAAACTGAATGTTAACCAAATGGGGTTGCGCTCCGTCGGATCTGAAAACACGGAAAGCGTGATTGAGAATGCGGGCGAAGATAAGAGAAAGAGAGTGTGAGCAAGTGAAGGAGTTACTGCCAATAGGTTTCGAGATTATCGTCACGGAGGGAGGAAACACCGTTACCGGGTTTGCAAGAACTGACACTCCAAGCGGCCTTTTTCCCCATCTCCGTTAAATCATCGTCTACCGTCAACAATTGGTTTCCTCCGCTCAACTTCGTTTCTTCTTCGCCCTCTGATGATTCTGCTGCCATTTCAGAAACCTCAGAAAACCCTACCTCTCTCTTCTTTTATTTTTCAAGCTTCTTCAGCCGGAAGAGAACGCAAGTGATGAATTGAACAAGAACACAACGAAAAAGACGACCTTTTAGTTTAAGTTTTTAAATTTTTAAAAACTGAAATTAGGACGTGGTTTTGAAAATTTAATTTTGGATTGTATCTGTCCTGTATGGTAAAAAAAGTTCAATTGTTTAAAAAATTAGATCTAAAAATAAAAGTAAAATATTTTGATAGCAAAATGATTAAAATAGTTTTTAAAATTTAAATATGTCTTTAGTTATTTAAGTAAAAATTAGAATTAATTTTTTTTACTAGGTTAGTTTTTTATAGGTTTAATTGCTTCCTTTGTCCCCAGTTTGGTTGAATTGTGTCAAATTCATCCTCATTTTTAAAAAAGTTTCATTGTCGTCCTCACGTGGTATAAAAGTGTCAATTGAATCAAAACATAGAAAAAATTTGTGTCAAAGTAGTCATTTTTCCTATATATCTGTGTCTTCCTTTCATATGTCACTTCTCTGGAGCTATGAAAAGCCTTAAATTGGATAAGGTAAAATGAATATCTGTACTTGATTGTATGAAAGGAAGACACAGAGATATAGGAAAAATGACTACTTTGACACAAATTTTTTCTATGTTTGGATTCAATTGACACTTTTACACCACGTGAGGACGACAATGAAACTTTTTTAAAAATGAGGATGAATTTGACACAATTCAACCAAACTGGGGACAAAGGAAGCAATTAAACCTTTTTTATATTTAGAATTACGTAGATTTAATCAAGCCGTATTTTTTAAGAAAATAAATAATTCAAATACTATCATTTCTAAATTTACGTATTTTAAAGTTAAGAAATTAAATTAAATCAAAATTAAAAAAAAAATTCACTTATAATTAATTAATTAAAAATATATTTAACTTACTTTTAAAATAGAAAAAGTTGTTTAATAATCTGTAGAGGAATATGAAATCAACTTTAGTCTAACTAATAAAATTTATATTGTTATTTAACTTTTTTTGTCATAAATTTTTCATAAGTTCGATATATTTATAGCTTTTAAATTTAGATATGATTTAATTTTTTAATAAATTTAAGAACTTTCAATTAATTTTTTATTATTTATTAAATGTTCAATAATTTAAAACTTTTCAACCAACTTCTTGTCGTTAAACTTGTTATTATTTATACGATGTAATTATACCGTCGTCACACTCTTTATGTTATATAATATTTTGTTACATAAGATTTAAAAAATGATAGTTTAAAAATAGTGAGAATTAATTATTTTAATATTGATTTAATAATAAATAATTTTGTTATAAATTAGTTTTATTATTTTAAAATCTATCATCTCTTTAAAAATTATTTTTTTAGAGTTTTTTTTAACTCCTGAGTCATCTATTTGACGACCAGAAAGTGCCTAATTAATCACGGCGACAAGGTCTAATTTCATATCCGATTAGTTTTTGTAATAGAGCAAGTAAGTTTTTACTCTTTTTTTCCTTCCGTTCCAAATCTGTTTTAGAAGAATATGATACTGTTACATGTGTAATCATGTCTCTCCTACTCATTCTTGGTTCATCTAGAATTCTAAGGACTCTATCCGTTTTCAATTTGGTGTTTCGTAGGTTCATCTAGGTATTCCTTGCGGTTCAAGTAAACGACGGAGCGTTATTTGAGTTGGAGTTGTTTCTTGTGTGGTAAGGGAAGCTAAATCTTTTCGTAGTTGTAATGGTAGTTTAAATTTAGTGTTTCTATAATTTATAGATGTTTTAGTACAATTGGCGTGATTGGGTAAATTTGATGCATGTTAAATTGGTGTTTTGATGATATGGTGTTAGTGTAATTGGTACGATAAAATGATTGCTGCTGGATATTGTTGTAATTGTATGTAATAAGGGTATTTTATTGTTGAAACAAAATTCTAGTAGTTGTTGAAATTATTGATCAAGTTACTTAGATTTCAAGCTTAAAAAGGAGGGGGTTTGGTTAGTGAAAATTAGAAATAGGTATGAAAATGTTATGGGAACTGTTTTGTTATTGTCATGAGGTAATTTGAAACTTGTCTAAGTTCTTAGTTAATGGAAATATGAGATAAAATGAATTAGTAGTTGAAATGTTAAGTTTCGCATGGTATTAGATTCAATTTTAGAGGTTTTGAATGACTAAAACCTAATGGAAGGGAGTAGGATTTAAACTAAACCTTTGAATCTGTTGTTGGGGGTATTTAAAACTTGTTTGCACCTTGAGAATGCTAGAAATTTTGATACAAGATCATTTGATAATTAATAGGTTGAATTTGACTTGATTTAGCCTAGTTTTAGGGGTTTTGATAAGTGAGATTCTAAATTAGAAGTTATGGGCTATAGGTGATGATTTATAATTTGTTATTGAGTCAATTAGAACTTGTTCAAATTGTTAGGTTGCAAAAGTTTGGTGTAGAAGGTGAAAATCCGAGTTTAAGTGCTTTTGGAGTGTCAAAAATGGATTGATACACCTTGTCTTGGGTTTAATGATCAAATGGATTATTCTTCTACTTATAAATGTGTTTTCCCATCAATTATAATGTTTAGAAAACCCCTTTGATCATTAGAAGAAGTTCCAAGTTCATCAAAATCCAATTTCGAAGTTGCTATCAACTGGTATGGGGCTCGGGCGCGCCCAAGCGCCCCTCATTTCCGTGCGGCTCGAGTCCAGGCGCCCCCCGAGCACCCCTGCAGCAGTTTTGAAGAGTTTTCAGGGTTCTTGATGTCCGTTTGGGATGTTCTTTAGGTCGTTTTGGGGGGTTTTGGACCCTTCTGAAGCTGTTGGTGAGGGTTTCAAAGTTGTTTTCCTTACTTAAATGTCGGTAATAAGATGCCTTAAAGAAATTGTGTTATTGTGTGATTTTTGATGACTTGTACGAGTGTTGTTATTTTTTTAATGTATCATCAATAATCTCATGTATTGGTGTACTATGTGAATGTGAAGTGATCTCAATGGTTTCAAAGGTATGGAAGAGAGTTCCAAGGAGGAACTTCTCAGCGGTGGTTTCAAGTATTATAAGTATGAATATGGGAAACTTAGTCTTAGAGTTCATCTTGACATTCTAATGGTCACTCATTCTCAAGTAAAGAAGGGTGAGACATGTCGTGAGAATAGCAGGAGGTTCTAGTCTAGGGACTTTACATTGGACTAAAGCGAGTGATAACAAACTAACCTTGTGTGGTAGCTTCGGGTGGCCAACTGTTTCACCATAACCAGTGCATGAACCGTCATAGCTCAATATTCGTACTAATCCAGATGGTCAAGTCAAAATGTGGTCATACATAAAGTGTTTGTTTGGTTTGATGTGTTCTGTGTATCTTAGGTGAATGTTTAATATGTATTAATATATCTTTAATTATTTGTATTCTAGTTTACCCTTTCTTTAGCGTTGTTTGTTGTATGTTGTTTTCTCTTTGCCATGATCACTTTAATGTTGTGAGCTTAGGAAGGCTGTCTTTTTAATTGTTTTTGTAAGAGGTAAGAGTGAAACAGTTGGGAAGTCGTAAATCTTATCCTTCGTAGGTTTGTTTTCTTATAGAAGTCAATTTTCATACATGTAATATCTCATTTTAGTAGTATTTTGCTATTAAAAATGGAATGTTACAATTATTACATAGATTTCTCAGTTTTATATTTAAAATTAAAATTATAAATTTATAGAATATAAAATTATAATACTATAAAATTATGAAATTATAAAATTATAAAATTAAAAAAAATATTATAAAATTATGAAACTATAAAACTATAAAATTATAATATTATAAAATTATCAAGTTGTGAAATAATGAAATTATATTTTGCTTATTTTATATTTCGTTCTCAAAACATATTTTGTTTAAGATATACAATATAAAATGGAAAGGCAGCTCAATGCAAGACCACCAAGTTACAAGCCAAAAACATCCCTTTAAACATCTTCAAAGGAGAGGAGAAAAAGCAGAACGACTCACTTATGTCCTCTATCCCTGACTTGACATGCCAAAATAACTAGACACTAGAAGAAAAAACACTACTTTATACAGTTGGCAGTTACTGAACAAAATTATGCAGCAGGCCACACATGCTTCAAGACGAGATTTGGCATTGAGTGCAAAAAGGCTTGAACTATACTCACCACAAATATTCAAGGAGCCTATCTAAAAATCCTATCTGCCATCTAGAAATTTAAAATGTCTCCTATCAGACACATAATCTGTAGTCCCCACCCACAAAAAGGTTCTGGAGGGTATGCAGGAGGAAAAGGTCAAAATGCATGGAAACTCATTTTCATCTCTTGTTATTTGGTGCAACTGAACTTGATTTTGAGAAGATTGACAATCTCTTCAAAATAGAAGGTTTCTTTGATGATTTCTTTTCTTCATAGCGATTTGTAGATTCTTGAGAGGCGTTGAATTTTGGCTCATAACAGTCTTCATTCTCAAACTCTCTGTCTTCCTTTAAAAGACGGAGTAGTTCAAGCGCATAAGCCTTTGCCATGTCACTTCCTGAATTGGAGATGTCGACAAGAGAAGGAATAATTCCCTCATCCATAACCATCTGACAGTATTCCACTCGTTGAGAGCATAAAGAGAGTAGAATAAGCAGTGCCGGTTCTTTTTCCTCGTCACTGCCAGTCCCAAGTATTTCAACCACAGAATATATGCATCCTTTTGTTTCAACCACAGTAACCTTACCCTCTTCAGTCTCACTAAGGTTTTTCAAAATATGTATACAGTCTCTCGAAAGGGTTTTGTCTCCAAAAAATTGCAGTAATTTTGGGATGCACCCGAGAGATATCATGTAGGCACACATTTGACTATTGCATGAAAAATTAAGCATTATTTTAATAGATTTTCCTTGGAACTGCTTGCTACCAAAATCAAGGATCTTTGAAACAGAAGTGAGTAAAGTGGAAGCTCCAATGTTAGCTTTCTCATACCAATTTCCTTTCAGCTCTTCCATTATGGTAAGAGCTTCACCAATCACTTCTGTGTCAAGAAGACTTGCCAACATAATGCATGTATCTTCAGTTAAATTGGTCATACCATTGCTACATGAAAACCACAAAGAAGTCATTCCAATAACAAAACATGGACGGCAATTTTAAATTGAAAACGCTTTTTTCCTGCTTTTAGGAAGCAAATCCATCAAATATACGAGTATAAATATTCAAGATTGAAAGAAACAATAATCTCAAGGTATTGACCATGGATTTGGAATGAGTTTTAACTTCGAAGAAAAACTCCAGTATCTTTCTTTATTACTCTACACCACGTAAATCTTGCTTTTCAACGGATAATTGTTAAAAATTCTATAAAACTCACAAAGTAACAAATTAAAGTAGACAAATGTAAGCTAAACGAAATAGCCAACAATGAACTATGAACCAAATTTCAAGGGAAAAAGAAATTGTACCGGCAGCACTTCAGAAATTCCAACAGCAATATAGTTCCAGATCTCAGAGCTTTTACATCATGCCTCTCACAGGCAGTGCTCAGAAATCTCGTGAGTGGGTCAATGAAATTCTCAGATGGCACAGAGCAAAAGATATGGTTATTGCATTTGAAATCTATTCTCATATCTTCAATAAGTTGGCATTGAGATTCCCATCGACGTTCATGGAGTTTAGACAAAGGCATCAGATCAACGTCATGAATCCGTGCACGAGATTGGTGCCTCCGAGAATTGGCACTGCTCGTGTTCAATATCAAATCTAAGCCATGATTGGCATTAGAATGAGAGGAATCTGATTTATAACTGGTGTCTAAAGATCCAAGTGACACGTTACTAAGATCCATTTGGAAGTTTAAATCATACAAAGAACTTCCAAAACTCTTAATGGAATTGGAGGAAGCATCCCATGGGTGCAAATGTGGCACTTGTCTACTCGGGTCAGGAATGGAGACTCCATTAGTTTCACACCACTTTAATATTAGGTCCTTGAAGACAACATTTGGAGTCAATGCCATATGATCCAGTTTCTTTTTGGTTTTTGGGCATATAGTATTACCCTCATCAAACCACCTTTGTATCCACATTCTTTCATATGTTTCTCCTGAAGCAATGACAACAGGGTCATACATCAACCTTAAAGATATTGGGCATGTATATTCCTCAGGAGGTGTAACTCTGTCCAACTCATTGGCCTGAGTTCTATGCTGATCATAGTTCAAGTATGGTTCTGACTTGACATCAAGGATTCTTTGAGACTCATGAACTGAGTTCTGAGTTGTGATTGGTCCTTCACTTTGCAAATAGACCTCAATTTGTTCCCCGGTGATGTATTTTTTGTTCTTTAGCAGGAGATACAAAAGATTTTTCAAGACAATCTCTTTTGGCTGACCATCTGGTTTGAGCTTTTTTAGCAACTTCTGAATAGATCGTTTCTCTATTAAGATGGCCGATGAGGATGTAATATTAAGTCTTGCTGCTACATATTGAAAATGTTTTGTTTCAGATTCTTCCACTGAATCTTGATCTGACGTTGAAGAAGCTTGCTGGAGCAATTGTTTCAAAACCTTTCCAGCTGCCACTTCAGCTGAGTCGAGGACAAATGTAACACACTCAAGATCACCAATTAGTCGAGAAATCTGCAAGAGACATTGCAATGCCAAACCAAAGGATTAAAATGAAGTTCCAAATAAATATACTATGTAACAAACAGACTATGCCAATGTAGTGAATAAAACAAAACAAAATATCAGATATTTCAGATCAACAATAATGCGACCATCTGCAATATTCAACTAGAAAACAAATTCTTCAGCACTGTGTGGTTATATTTAATTTAATCACCGAATGGATTTTACTAATTATGAGAAGAAGTGTCTGATTCACATGTAGGCATTTAGCAATTCAGGACAAATAAAAACGGACCAACCTCTGCAGCCAACATCACGGGAACCATATTCAGAATCTGGACTAAGTTTTTCACTATCGATTGTCTTGCCTTTTGAAATTTTGAGAGTATGGAATCCCCTGTCATTGCCTGAAAGTGATATTAGAACCAACTGAATTAGCTTGCCACTAACATAATCAATGATTATATAATATCTAACTGCAGTTGCTCAATAATTTTCTATGCATCATAATAAACTTGTTTCTCCATATGTTTACTCAATTTGATATGATAGTACAACTAAGGATAATTTGTTTGAAAAATTTGAACTCCCGCGAAGAAATGGTATCCCCCTTCCCAAGTTGTTTATGCATATTACAGAACACTATATAGCTTTATGTAGCTGGAAAAATAAGAACTACACACCAGGTAGAGTTGACTAGATTCAGAGCAGTATATCAGGAGTTGTGCGGCTTTATGAATTGCACTGTTGAGCAAACACAGAGCCTGCATTCCGCAAGGGCGTGCTTCTTCTATACGTGGAATTATCCGCAGGATTCTAGCAACTAATTTCCTGAGTTCCGTGCACATTCCACGATGCACCTTCAAACACGAATTACAATCAATAAAATTCATGGTTTCAGTATGCAAAATAGTTGAAAAGAAGTATTATTTTTAACACCCCGATAGTGCAAATACTCAATTAATACCCTCTTTTTTTTTCTCTATCAGTCTATTTTTATATATAGTATCACCTATGACATTTATCACTTCTCTCCTCACTATTTCTATCTCTGACTGGACATAGACTTCCATTGGGGTGTCCACCAAACATTCTTCTTTTAGAAAACACCCACATATCTTCAAAGTAAAAGATAAACTATAAAGTCAGCGCTTTTTCTTCTAGATCAAACAAAATACAAGAAGAAAAAAAGGAAAAAACGGCAATTATTTTGAAAAGTATAACTTAGGGATTGACCGAGTAAAAGGCTTTATATTCTTCTCTTCATCAAAATTGAATCCATTCAAACAGTATCAATTTAATAAGAATTGAATGTAAAAGCATCCTCAATATAACAATTAAATTAAATTCTTTCCAGTACCTTAAAGGAGCAAGGACTTGGTAATGTCTCTACCAGTTCACTGCCATCAGTTCCCATTCAGGAGAGTACCCTAAGCTACAGAGGGACAGAACATTAAGCTAGTTAGTTCACTTCTTATACAAAATCATGCACAGAGCTTTAAAGAGAAACTACAACGTGTACAAAATACCTAACTAACACCTATTAATTTATGGTTTTCAGCAGTTAGGGTAATACCTTTCCTGAAATATTCAAAACTGTTTGCCAACAGCTAAGAAGTAACCACAAAAGAGTGTAGCGGGTAGTATTATCTCAAAACTCAGTTAAACACCCATATGAAAGTAAGCATAAGAAGAGAAAGAGAAGATTTCGGGATTCAAGTTGGGATATCCCAGGCAATAAAGTGAATTTATGGCATCATCATTAGCTAAAAGATTCATCTTTCAGCTAATTTACACTGAAATTAAAGTGCTGAAAAAAGAAATGAAGCCAGTTTGGAATACGACAAAGAGAGCAAACAAATAATCCGTTGTATGAGATGAAATGAGTTTAGTATACTGAAAACAATTTGAGCATAAGATGAAAAAAAATGTGAGGGTTGAAAGTAATTTGGAATACACAATGGCAAAGAAAGAGGGGGAAATGAATTACCCTCTATAGCGAAGACGATAAGAAGAAGCCTTCCAACAGAGCCAAGTTGATTAATTTCAAACCATCATCATCACACACTCCAAACATGCCACTACCCACCATCAATAATTAAATAATCTTTGAAACAGTAAAGCCACGAGGCGTCAAATGAGCACTTGATAAAACAGCGAAATCGCCACTATGTTGATCGTGTGAAGGAGAATTCAGAGAGTTCAGAGTGCTTTCGTGCAGTTCTACCATTGACAAGAAGCACGACGAACATCAAAACGCAACGGTTCCTAAGAAACTTTATTAAAAGTAAAGTGTAGCACGTGTCGGAGTTCATAATTATCTTTTCTTATTATCTCCAAAAACAAAAAGTCCCACTTTTGTTCAGTTGACGATGTCCTTCATAAGTGCCCCACCCATCAAAAAGATCAGAGAGAGAGAGAGAGACAGAAGACTTCAAAAAGAAAAAAAAAAAAGAAAGAAAAAACCACTAATAAAGCAGAACTGATAATAACGCAGAATTGATGATGATTAAGGCCTCAGGGGAAGCATTCAATTAGGATACCAACCCACGAAAGGAAAAATATCAAGAAAGGAAGAGATTCTATGTTGAGTGAAAGCGAAGCATGGGACTGAAAATAGAAAGAAGAACCATATTTACCAGGTTGAAGATTCTGAGTTTGAAGGAAAGAGGAGAGAAAGTGAGAGGGAAGATAAATAAATAATTAAAATTAAGAATTAAAATATTATGAGTGAGGAAATGAAATTGGTGCTTAAAGGATGTCTGTGGAGAGAGACCAAGTCGAGGAAAGAGGAAGGAAACAACGTGGCAATCTGAGTGGCAGTGGCAGTTTGACCTGCGATGAAGACACTGCAGTGCCCTCAACAAAGAGCAACAAACAGTGACTGCTATTGGATCACCTGCCTGTGAGAGCTGTGATGGATGTGCTCCGTCTACCTGGACTGATATATGGTCTCTCTGGGTCCCATGCTGTGGCTGTGGCTGTGACGAGGGTAGTACGAGCACTTTATCCCGCCTACTATTCTCCATCTCAAATGACCACTTGGCAGTATTAACGACAAGCGGTCTATAAAGTCTTAGTCATTTCATTTTTTTTACAAAAATATATTTTTCTTTTTTAAATTAATTTGAAAAGTCTGATTTTTTAAATCTTATGCTTTATAAAAAGTATGTAAAATGTTTCTTTTAATAAATGATACGTCCAGTGTTTATCATAAAAATAAAGTTGAAGTATGTTATCTACAATTGGTTAATAAATCTTTTACATCACTTTCATATGGTAGACGATGAAATATTATATAATTTAGTTTAAGAATAAATATAATTTTTGAAATAATTTAATACGAAAAATTTATTTAATTTTATAGAAATTAGACTTGTATATACAAAATATATGAATAACTCAGACTATTAAATATTTAATCTCTTCTTCAAAAACAAATATTATATTTGTTTAATAAATACATATTCCATCACATTATAAATAAAAAGACTCACAATATTTATAGTACTTTTGTGTCAATATTTATAACAAATTTTCAATGTAATTTTTCATGTATTTTTTACTTAATTAATACGGTCCTTCTTTTTTCAAAAGAATTTAATGTGATCTCTTCTACTATATTGATGTGCATGTTCAAGTTATTAAAGACGATGATTGGACAAATTCATATATATATATATATATATATATATATATATATAGCAAATGATTGAATCTTTCATCAAATTTTAGTTATATTTGTCTCTCTACCTTAGAGTTGGTTCTTTATTTCCTTTCTCTCCTCTTCTTTCTTCTTTTCTTACACTCTTTTCTTACTCTCATCTTCATTCATTAAGTTAAGACTAAGGAATGGGAGGAATATTATGAGACAGATGACAAAGCTACTATTGATTACAAAAAAAATTCAATGGTGGCAAACCCTTTCTCAACCCCTACAATCAAGTAACCTCACCAATGTAAATGAAAGAAATGGCACCACATACAATCAAATAAAGGTATATTGCAAAGCAACATCTTAATATTGGTTGAGACGGTATCATGCAAAAAATTTCGAAAAAAAAGACACATTTTCTCATGTAACATTAAACCAAGTGGAAAAACCATTTATAGGTTGAGTGAGACGAATAAAAGCCCAAAGCATCACTATTTTAGACAAAAATAACTTATCTCACATGAAAATAAAGGTTTTAATATTTTCCAAAAATTAAGTATATAAATTATCAACTTGTCTTTCCTTCAATTGTCATTAAGCATAAGTTGTGTAAAAATTTATGTATAATAGGTTTAGTATTGGATAAATAATCAAAGAAAATATTTAAATCACTCTGGACATAAAAAATACCTAAAGAGTAACAGTGATCTTAAAAGATTATACTCAATTATTTTAGTTTTAAAAATTCAATCTATAAATAGAATTTTCTATTTAATTTTAAACCACAATAATTCTAAAACTTTTTTTTTAAACTCTTTCTTTACCTTTTCTTTAAATCTTTGTCCCCATCATTCATTTATTTGAAGGTCGAAGTACACCATACGACTCCTTACGTTAAGGTCTATAATCTTACCTAATCAGAATCTTGAACGAAGTAAGTTAACCTTTTGTCTTTCTTTTTATTCTTTTAAGAAATCTATTGCATGTAGGGGTATAGGGGTTTGCATGTGATGGGCTCAAGGTGAACCTTTATTCAATTAGGATTGTAAAGATGTGTTTTGATCATTGATTAGAGTTCTTTATATGTAAGTGGAGCAACCTGTGAGAATTAGAGTTTTAGGAAGTAACTATAAGATATGAAGTTGTTTAATCAAGGTAAGGAAAGCTAATATTGTTTTGTATCATTTAAATTGTCTTTTCTAAAGTGAATGTGTGGTAATATGTGATTTGATGGTTAAATTGGTATATCTACAATGGTTGAAACAATAGGTATGAGTGAAACTATTTATTTGCTTGATTTGTATAACTGGACTAAATTGTAATATGTGAATGAAATGTTGAATTATTATATTTCATTTGTTAAATCGATTGATTTAAGGGAAAAATAAATAAATAAGTAAGCTCATGTTTAAATTGTTATTTTATTCTGCGTTGTGGTTTGGGTTGGATCCGTGGAGTAATATCTTTGACTTCTAATGAGTCGTTTTATGTAAAATGATACTTTTGATTTGGTTAAAGGATAAAGACACTCATTAGACTTAAGGAAAAATTATATTATTCAGATTTTACTAACGAGTTAACTTCTCATCAAATGAGTGCTAAAATTGAGCCCGACATAGGGAGGTCGCGCTAGGCGAGACTTGTCTTGTTGGGCAAATGTCAAATATGGGTTTGGTTAAGAGGTAGGAAAAATTTTCTCACTTAGATGAGTTGTTATATACTTATTTATAGTTTGGGATTGGTCTTGAAATAAAAAAAAATGTATATAACCCGGCTCAACCCGACTTGGCCCGGCTCATCACGGGTTAGTCACTTAATGAGTCAACCCAACCCGGCTCACTTATTAGCAACTGAAAAAATTTGAACTCGGCCTGACCCACCACTAGTTGGTGGGTTAAACGGGTTGACTCACTAGCTGATTTAATTATAAGTTTTTTTTTAAATAAAAGTTACAATTTTTTTTAATTCAAATATAAATAAACGTCACACTAAAATGATTTTAAACTACAAAGACAATTAAAAAAAAGTATCATACAATCCAAGCGTAATTCAAAAACATGTACAAAAGACGAACAAATAAGTTTTTAATATTGATACTTTTTGTATCACTTGTCCATTTATAATATTAGAGTCTTGAATAGATAAATCTATAATATTTTTCTCTCTTGAAACATCTTCTTATTTATCACCATCTACAATATAATAAAAAAATAATAACTAATAATATTGAAACACAAATTAATAAATAATTAAATTAAATTAGGTGGATTGGTGAGCCAACCCGGCTCACCACGGGTTCAACTCGGTGAGTCGAATTCTAAGTGAGTCGGGTTGAAAACTAACCCGCATAAAAAAATTACATTTTTTTCAAACCCAACCCGAATCAAACCCGTTGTGAGCCCGGTTAATTCGTGAGTTACAACCCATTTCGACATCACTTTAATATCATTTATCTTTTATGTTTATTTTTTCTTTTATATATATATATATATATATATATATATAAATGAACGTACAACAATAAACTTAAATATGATTGCATACATAACTCAATTAATTAAGAGATAATAGGTTATTAAAATATGTGAAACTTGCTAGTACATAAAACCCTTAAAATAAATTGATATTTTATATGTATAACACACATTCAAAAACATTTATTACTTATAATGATTGTATTAACTTAAACTTCCAAGATCCCCTCCTAATTCCCTAATTCAGTCCCTGCATGGAAGCGGTAAGACATTCCAGCAATACCAAATAACAAAAAGAGAGACCTTATCGACTTCAATGAAAACAAGTGTTGAATATGTTTTTAGTTTCTAAACTATCAAGCGAATTTGTTTTTAGTCCCTCTTTCAAACTTTGGTACATTTTGATCATTCTCCTTAAGGAAACTATAATTTTTCGTCCTCAAAAACCAACGGCGTTAAAAATCAGTTGAGATGGTGCCACGTCATTTTTTTTTCTGACACCGAATCAATTTTCCCCAGCTTTTCTCCCTCCCTCTCCCTCAATCTTCTCCTTAAACTCCTTCTTAGAAATCGTCACATCCTTCAACCTCTTCACCGCCACCACCGGCCCTACCTCAAGGATTGCGTTCAAACCTCGATAGTGGCTGCAATTTAAAACCTCAATGATAACCGATAAACAAGTAAAATTGAACCAGATCAACCATCACTTGTTACATGCATTGCAAGAATGGATTAAGCGAAGAGTGTTATGACTTAGCCAGCAGAAATCCTGAGAAGAACGCTTCTCACGCGCGAATCCATGGCTTTGGAAACCCTCATCTGGTTCCGCATGAGTTCTCCGATTGTTAACGATCGCTTCGGCTTTCCCTGGCCCAAACTAAAGCTAGGATTCTTTCTAGAGCCCGAACCAGGTGATTTCAAGCCAAAGGCCTTCTTAACCTTGCTAGCGGCGGTAGAAGTGATGGATCGCTGGAATGTTTGCGAGTTTGGCGAGTTCTGGCCGAGTGAATTGGCAGAGGAGTGATTAGGGATGGAACTGAGCGGCTTGCTAAAGGAGGTGCGGCAGGCTGCAACGAAGATCTCGAAGGTTGTTAAGGAAAGGTCAGAATCGGAAAGGTTGGCGGCGAGTTGGTCAAGCAGAATCAGAATCGGAATCGGAACGAAGATCTTCTAAATCAATTCAATCTTCCTTCCTCTAGAACCTTAATATTCACTTATATCTTTTTATTCTTTTTATTTCATTTTTTTCTCTGAATTTCTCGTAAATTTTGGCTTGCCTTCTTCAATCTTTTCTACTTTCTAACATATTTAATTGCATCGTGTATAACAGAAGAAAAAAAAACAGTTTACATGCGCCTATGGCGTTTGATTTAGAGGATTTGCTCAGGGCTTCGGTGGAGGTTTTGGGGAAAGGGACTTTCAGGACGACATATAAGGCGGTGCTTGAGGCAGGGCCGGTGGTGGCAGTGAAGAGGTTGAAGGATGTGACGATTTCTGAGAAGAAGTTTAAGGAGAAGATTGAGGGAGAGGAGGGAGAAAAGCTGGGAAAAGTTGATTCGGTGTCAGAAAAAAAAATTACGTGGCACATCACCGTTAGCCACCTCAGCTGATTTTCAACGCCGTTGGTTTTAGAGAACGAAAAATTATAATTTACTTAAGGAAAAGGATCAAAATGTACCAAAATTTGAAAAAGCGACTAAAAACAAAGATTAAGAACATATTTAACTCAAGAAAACAATAATGAATTTAATATCTTAATC